ACCCCAACATGGTCGATCGTCGGTTCAATTTCGATCACAGAGTTGGGCAACCACAGCCGCTGATGTTAGTAGATGCTAAATGAATAGTGAATTCAGTACGAATTATAGCAAAAACTTGGGAGAGCAACTTCCTAGAGGCGGACGAGGAATTAAACCCCGCACCCTCGCCAGTCGCTCACGGTTCAACCGTTATCCGTGTGGTGCGAGTGGGTACTACCGCCGCCATTTGCAATTACCCAGACAGGCTGGGAGAGTCGATGAATCGGAGGAGAAGGGAGAGGTTGGAACTTGGAAGCGGGATGAGGGACAAAAATCATTCTGAGCTTCTTCCTTGAGCAGGGCGGCGGCGGGGAGTTGAACCCAAGGTCGATCGCTGGTTGGCAGTGGTTCAACTTCAATCAAAGTTCAACCAGTTTCTGGGCGACCACGACCGCTGATGTTAGTATATATGCTGGGACGCTAAATGAATAGTTGATGCAGAACGAGTGACAGCAAAAGCTGTGAGGAATCATTTTAGAGGCGGGCGGGGTAATCGAACCCCGAATCTCAACCATGCGCTGAGTTCTGCACAGGAATCAGATTGCTTGAGTAGGTACCGCCGCCGATGTAGACATACCTTGACCTACCGGGAGAAGTCGTTAGATTGGAACTCGCCCACGGTCTCGCGCATCCGTCGATTTGGATTGCATTGGGTTCATGGTTCAAGCCGGCGCGGTCAATGTAGGGAGACGAAGGAATAAATTGAGTTGAAAAAGAACTCCTCTCAAGCTACACATGCGGGCGGGGACTCGAACCCTGCATCCCTGCCAGTCACTCATTGACACGGTTCACTCGTTGTCCGTGCGAGTGGGTAGGACTACATAGCGCCGCCATTTGCAATTGACCAGAAGGGACAGCAGAGTCGATGAATCGGAGGTGAGGCCTGTGAGGGATTGAAGGGAGAGCCTCAGATGTGACGACCAACACATGCCAGCGAGCGTCAAAAAGGATGCTCCGCCAGGTCGAATGTAATAAGTACGGGCGGGGAGTTGAACCCCAACTTGCAATTGGGTCGATCACCGGTTTTGAACCAGTCGTGAGCCACATCGGCCGCTGATGTTCGTAGGTACTCGCGTAGATATAGATCCCGACCTGCGGCCCCGATTCACGATGAGCGGCACATCGAGAAGAAAAAAAGCTTAACTTGTCTCGATTGGCATGAACAGAGGCGGGCGGGGAGTCGAACCCGCAGTTCAACGTTCAACGTTCAAATTTCAACTGACCCTGAGCTTGGATCGGAGTGTGAGCCTGAGTCGGTTACCGCCGCGGTGTGAATCGAGCGTACGGGGCAGAGATATGCCCTGGTTAATTCAGCGGTCTTGCGAGTGGGTCACCGCCGCGGATTAAATGTAGCGCGCCGCCGAGTGCGGGCTGCCTTATTTCGAGAACCCTGTACCGCTGAACCGGAGCAGAAAAAGAGCTTTGCAGCCTTGTTGGAGCTTTTACAGGCCGCGTGGGGGAATCGAACCCCGAGACGCCCGGTTCAACCACACAACGCACCTCCAAGCGCCCACCACCACCGCGGATACGTCCCACGTAGATTCGCGGAACTTGAAGAAGCAAAGACTTAGGCTCCGAGTCAGCGACGGAGATCAAATGGCGGAGATTGGAGACTCTTCGAATCGCCCACAACGTCATGATCCCTACCCGCGAAAAAAAATGGACCATCGTTGATTTCGTCGCGTTCGAGGCAAGTCAAGTTGAACAATCCAGCTTCTTAATCGCACACCTGTGGGAGGACTGAACTGTTCATCTGTCGTTTCGGGAGATGGACCGCCCGCATCAAAGATGATATCACGGGCGGCGGCGGGGTTTGCTGATGCGCATCATTCTGTCTTTTCCCAGTCACAACCCACAAACACTCCGTCCTCCGCCCACCGACGACGAATGCACACAGACGACCACTACCGCTACCCGTCCCCCGACGCTGCACCCAGCTCGAGCACGCCGAGTCCACCCCCGGTCCCGCGCTTGAGAGCGGTAGCGCGGAGACGCCTCACTGGGCCCAATTACCTCCAGAACATACTCAATTCCGTGCGTCTCGCTTCAGTCTCCCCACCGCGTATGTAGCTCGCTTACTCGTGTATGCAGGACAGCGAACCCGAGCAGCCGCCGCCCCCGCCGCTGTCCTCGTCCTCGACGACTTCGACGGAGTCGGCGTCCTCCTCGTCATCCTCCCCGCGCTCCACCCACGCCTACTCATCGTCGCCGCACCCTCAGCCTTACCCCGACTCGTACCCCTACCCCTACGTCTACCCCTTCCCACCCTACGCCTCCGACGCGCCCTCGCACCCAACCCACGCCGCTTCCTCCCCATCCTACACCTACCCCGCGCCCCACTACCCACTCTCCCCAGAGTCCCCACCCTACCCCACCCCCCACTCACACCCACCCTACCCCCCTTCCTACACGCACCCCCACCCCCACCCGCACGACGCCTACCTCCGGCACCAACTCTGCCTCCACCCCTCCGCCCCCGTCGACCTCCGCGCCATCGCCGACCCACCCCTCGGCCAAAAACCCTTCGCCTCCCTCCCCACGCTCGTCAAGCTCGCCATTCACGGGAGCAAGGAACGGAGGCTCACGCTGGCGGGGATCTGCGACGCGTTGGTGGGGCGGTTTGTTTGGTTTCGGGAGCATAGGGGGGATGATGCGTGGAAGGTGTGTTGCGCGCGTTTACAATTTTTCTGTGTTTCCTTTTTTCGCGCCTGTTGGATGGAGGCGCTCCTTCCTTGTCGCGACTTTCCTCTGGTGTACGCGCTTGGCCGGAACGCGTTCCGTTCATGCTTGGACACTTCTATCCCTCCATCTTTCTCGCCTTCCCCGGTCTACTTTGCCTCCATTTGGCTCGCGTATCCCCCCACCCTCTGTTATCGGTTGGAGTTCGTGTCGGGGAAACCCTTCCCCGTCATCCTCATTTATGCCATTCCACCTCGTCGTTCGCTTTCGTTGTTTTGACCTCGGTGATCATCGTTTAGTCACATTCCACCCTCCCTCCTCATTCTATCCTTGACCTTGCGTTCGCTCATCCCCCCTTCTTATCTTCTTATTGCCAACCCTCTCTCCCCTTTGCGTCCTCCCTTCCCCGCCTTCTTTTTCTTTCTTTTGTTAACTGAAGACGCACCCCACCAGAACTCCGTCCGCCACAACCTCTCCCTCAACAAAGTATTCCGCAAGATAACGCGCGAGGTGACGCACCCCGGCAAGGGGTGCTACTGGGCGCTGGATTTGAGCGGGGGGGAGGGGTATAAGAGGGTGAGGAAGCGGAATCCTGCGCATCTTAAACGGAAGAGGGAGGCTCCTCAAGCGAGGTCGGAGGATGATCAAGCGAATTTGGAGGATGCGGGGGAGGCGCAGGAGGTGGGGGAGGCAGGAGCGATGGAGGTGGATGTAGGTGCGAACTCGAAGCCCACGAAACACGCGAAACAGGCGAAGGGGAGTAAGCGCAAACGCGAGCGCGAACACGCCGACGCGCGCGGCGATTGGGTAGACGGCGTGGGTGAGGGTGGGGGAGGGCATGGGGACGCGCTGACGCTTTCAAGGCCGTATGGTCGGAGTCGGTCGTCTTCGTCTTCGCGTGAGCCGTAGCAGCGGGCGCTGGGGGATGGGGACGGGGGCGGGGGCGGGGACGAGGCTTGGGTTAAGTTATGATTATTCGGGGGATGTACTTCAATTGTATTTGGTTTTTAACAATTCGTCGACGTCTTTACGCGACGCTGTAAAAATCATTGCGTCTATTGAAGGTGCAGTCGCTACTAGGAACGACTCGATAGCGGGTGGTCCGCGTCTGCTTTCACTGCTCCTGCATTTGAAACCTTATAAGCAGGTATTCTCGGTTCGAATCCGGGTCGAGTCCTGCTTTGCCTTTGCCCAAAGAAGATTTTTGCACACCTCGCGGATTTCACGTCAGTTATGGAGGGATGAGGGGAGGTTAGAAAAGGACTCGATGGCGGGTGGTCCGCGCTTGCTTTCATTGCGCGTTCGACAATTCTGTGCAAAGTAGGTATACCGGTTCAATTCCGGGTCGAGTCTTAGAAAGGGTTTCAATTCACAACCTTTTTTGCACCTCAGTGATTTTTGTATAAGCTATTCGAAGGTTGAAGTTGGTACTAGGAAGACTCGATGGCGGGAGGTCCGCGCTTGCGTTCACTGTACACAGCGTCTTGGGAGTTTTAGCAGGTATACCCGGTTCGATTCCGGGTCGAGTCTTCCCACATGCCCTCAATCTTTTTTTGTACCCCCAGGAAATGCTTGTATATATTATCGCAGGACGAGTGAATGCTGGAAAGACTCGATGGCGGGTGGTCCGCGCCTGCTTTCACTCCATAGCCATCTAGAGGTTTAGGCAGGTACACCGGTTCGGATCCGGGTCCAGTCGTGTTGAAGAAGATAGTGGGTGTTTTTTTTTCACTCATGCCGATTGTGTAGGCTATCGAGGCGTCAGTTGAAGTTGGAATGGGACTCGGTGGCGGGTGGTCCGCCCCTGCTTTCACTTCGCTTGCTTTGATCGCGGACTATTACAAGCAGGTACACTGGTTCGATTCCGGGTTGAGTCCTGCTTTGACTGTGTCCAGAGAAGATTTTTGCACACCTCGCGGATTTCACGTCGGTTATGGAGGGATGAGCTGAGATTGGGAAGGACTCAATGGCGGGTGGTCCGCGCCTGCTTTCACTGTGCTTTGATTGTGGACTATTACAAGCAGGTACGCTGGTTCGATTCCGGGTCGAGTCTTAATGAGTGTAAGTTTCTGTTTTGCACACCCCACAATTTTCCTGGTATGGGATATCGAAGGTTAGGGAGGTTACGGAATGACTCTGTGGCGGGTGGTCCGCGCCTGCCTTCACTTCGCTTGCATTGTTTGAAATTTAAGCAGGTACACGTTCGAATGCGGATCAAGTCTTCATATACCACACCTGCACTTTTTTGAGTAGGTTATCGGGAAATGAGTGGATACAGAGAAGACTCGATGGCGGATGGTCCGCGCCTGCTTTCACTGTGCACATCATCTTTAGGTTTAACTTTAAGCGGGTGTTCCTGGTTCGAATCCGGGTCGAGTCTTGGGGAAGTTCGTAGTCCGTTTTTTGCACGCCCCCCGATTTTTCATTGTAATGGCCTATCGAAGGTGGGGTAGGTTAAGGAATGACTCGGTGGCGGGAGGTCTGCGCTTGCCTTCCTTTCCCTTGTGAAGCTGTAGGCTTGAGCGGGTACGCCGGTTCGATTCCGGGTCGAGTCTTATGAAATTTCTTCCAGATGTTTTTGTGCCCCTAGCAAATTTTGCGCAGGTTATCGAAGAACGAGTGGGTGCCAAAGAGACCCGATGGCGGGTGGTCCGCGCCTACCTATCTTATACTGGTAGCTCCTTTGCAGTGGGTTTGCCGGTTCGATTCCGGGTCGGGTCCTACCTGCTCTTTCCATAGTACGTTTTGCATGCCCAGCAATATTTTGTGTACGCTACCAATGGTGGGGGACGGTAGGGAATGACTCGATAGCGGACGGTCCGCGCTTGCTGTCACTTCGCTTGCATCTTATGTCCGAGTTTAAGCAGGAGTTCCTGGTTCGATTCCGGGTCGAGTCTTTGCATGGTTACAGCAAAGGTTTTTGCACATCCCGCGGATTTTTGTACGGGCTTATCGAGGGATGAGTGGGTATGGAGAAGACTTGATAGCGGATGGTCCGCGCCTGCTTTCATTGGGCTTGCGTGTCGATGTTTAAGCAGGTATTCTCGGTTCGATTCCGGGTCGAGTCCTAGGGCTTCGAGGCTATGAACCTTTTGAACCCAGCAAATGCTTGTATGCGCTATTAAGGGATGAGTAGATAGTGAGAAGACTCGATAGCGGTGGTCCGCGTCTGCCTCCTTTACACTTGGAAGTTATAGGATTAAGCAGGTACATACACCGGTTCGATTCCGGGTCAAGTCTTTAGGGCTTTGTCGTGTGAGTTTTGCACGCCCTGCGGACTTTTGTGTAGCTTATCGAAGGTTGGGCAGGTGGGGGAATGACTCGGTGGCGGATGGTCTGCGCTTGCTTTCACTCCCTGGCCATCTGGAAGTTTAGGCAGGTAAACCGGCTCGATTCCGGGTTGAGTCTTACGTTCTTCGTCCATTCGTTTTGCACGCCCCACGATTTTTTGCGCCTGGGCTATCGAAGGTGGGAGAGGTTAGGCAATGACTTGATAGCGGGTGGTCCGCGCTTGCTTTCACTGTGCCTTGAACGTCCGTGTAAGCAGGTATACCGGTTCAATTCCGGGTCGAGTCTTATCATTCTGGTCGCTCCGATTTTTGTACGCCCCTCAACTTCCTTATTTGAGATATCGAGGGATGAGTAGGTGCTAAGAACGACTCAATAGCGGGTGGTCCGCGCCTGCTTTCACTGATCCTGGTGTCTTTTGAGCTTAAGCAGGTACCGGTTCGATTCCGGATCGAGTCTTGATCATGCCCACGCACATTTTTGGCGGGATTTTCATCTTGCATTTTCCACACCTTGGCTTTTTCGTATAGATTATCGAAGAACGAGTGGGTACGGAGAAGACTCGATGGCGGATGGTCTGCGCCTGCGTTCACTGTGCAATTGCTTTGTAGCCTTAGAAGCAGGTTCGAATCCGGGTCGAGTCTTGTGTCTTTGTCGCTCCTGTTTTTGCGTGCCCCACAGATTTTTTGTATAGGTTATCAAGGGTAAGGGAGGTTAGGGAATGACAATGACTCGATAGCGGATGGTCCGCGCCTGCTTTCACTGTGCCTGTCGTCGGTTAAGAAGCAGGTACACCGGTTCGAATCCGGGTCGAGTCCTTGCACCAGGTCGATGTTTTTGCACGCCCCTCAACTTCTTTGTAGGGGTTATCGAAGGTGGGTGACTTGAGAGGCACGACTCGGTGGTGGCCAGCGTTCCTTGGGTTTTGATTTTGAGCTTAAGCAGGTATTCCCGGTTCGAATGCGGGTCGAGTCCTGACATGGGGTATTTTTGCAGACCCTCCGATTTTTTGGGTCGAATATTGAAGGTTGAATTGCTATTAGGCAGGTGCAGACTCCATGACGGGTGGTCTGCGCCTACGTCCTCTGTTTTCGCACACACACAGTGATTTTGTTGTATGGTCAATTGGAGAGCGGGCTAGGGATGTAAACAACTCGATAGTGGATGGTCCGCACTTGCTTTGTATGATATGTTTGTTTTTAAGCTTATAAGAGGCAGGTACACGGGCTCGATTCCGGGTCGAGTCCTGATTTGGGCCTAAGGTTCTGAAGTGCATTTTTGCATAACCCCATCTTCTTGTGTCTCGGATATCAAGGGACAGGTAGGTATTGGGAATGACTCGATAGTGGATGGTCTGCGCTTGCTATCAATAATGCTTGGAAAGTTGTAAGTTGTTACTTACAAGCAATGTCCCCGGTTCGGATCCGGGTCGAGTTTTGGACCTATCATGTGGTGTTTTGGCAGACCCCCGTTTGTCAATATTTTTTTTCGAACTTCTGGCGCCGTTTTGGTGCAGGGTGGGACTGAGGAGTGCTGGCGTCAACGCGCACTCGTCCACCGCGGTACGCCACATCCAAACTGCGGCGGTAGCCGACTCAACCAAGCTCAAGGGCGAGGGCGAGTACTTGGAATTCAGGGTTCGACTCCCTGCCCGCATCTATATTGTGCACAAAGTCCGACCTTTTTTTCTTTTCGATTCAGCGGGTGAAGTTCGCAGTTTAGGATCTGCATATACTAACGAGCACCAATGGCTATGGTCCGCCACGACTGGTTCGACTTTGATTGATTGCAGGTTGAACCAGAAGCGAGCATTCTTTTGACCCGCATTCGCATTTCCATTTCCAACATCCCACCCATCCCACCCCACCCAGCGATGCAAGCCAGCTTGCCTGCTGGTTGAAGGCACAGGGAGAAGCGACGGTGTTACCCTGCCCGGTTGAGCCATAACTGGGATGCGAGGCTCGACTCCCACCAGGGGCAAAGACCCAATCATGCGGATCCACATACGACGGAAGTATGTGGTCCGCATGTGGTCCTCACCCGGAACAAAGACGACAAAGCCACCTTTACCAGATAAAGGGCGGCTTTGTTTCATGCTTTGTTCTCTGGTACTGGGGAACAAAGCATGCAACAAAGCTGCCCTTTGTCTGGCAAAGGTAGCTTTGTCACCTTTGTTCCGCAAACCGATAACATGACGGACCACATACTTCCGTCGTATGTGGATCCGCATGATCGGGTCCTTGCCCCTGGTGTCCCCGCCCGCCTGTTCAGCGTTGATAGATGACAAGAAGTCTTTTTGACCTGACCACAGTTGCCTTATTCCCTGGACCCCACTCCTCTCCTTCAATTGGTTGACGAATCGGATGCCAGCCAGGCTGGTTGATTGCATTTCAGTTGTGCGGCGCCGCTAACCACTCGGGGAGAGTGTCAGTTGAGCGAGAGCTGGGATACGAGGTTCGACTCCTCGCCCGCCAATAACACATCCTGGTTGTCAAGCTATGTTTATTTCCTCCAGTTCCTGCTTGCCTCCCCGCCTTGTAATTAGGCTTACTGCAACAGCGGAACATCCAACTTCAAATTGAACCCAGCCTTGCCATGCCGTGTTGACCCATCCCATCGTGCCCACTGTTCAACGTTGAACAAGCTGCCATTTTGACGCCACACGAGGATGCCGAGCTTGATAATCAAGATGAAGAATTCAACCCACCCATTTCTTCCCACAGCTGTGCGATTCAGAAAACCCGTGGTTCGACGTTGCAACGTTCAACTTGAGCGCGAACAAGTTGACCATCTCTCGAGGCTACGCCGCGGCATCAGTGCCGTTGTGGGCGATTCTTGGGTTGCAATCTCCGCCATTGATCTCCGTCGCGGGGTCGGAGCTTCTTCGCAGACCTACGTGGCATCCGCGGTGGTGATGGGCGCTTCGAGCCATGGAGGTAAGCTGCATGTATGTCTGTGGTTGAACCGGGCACCTCGGGGTTCGATTCCCTAGACCGCATAGTTCTAGGTCGAGTTCTTTTTTGACCAGAGTTGCCTCTCCCTCGTCCTATTCTCAACACCTCACCTCATCCCACTCTCCTTTTCCCCCTTCTTCCTGTCCTTTTTCTCTCCTTGCTCTCACCGCATCAAATCGAATGCAATTTGCGGATCTAGCAAACACTCCAGGCCCACTCATCGTGCCCACCATTCTGTCCCCTGCTACTTAGTAGGTTGAAAGCGTATTACATCGCCGGCGGCACCTGCTCAAGCACTCTGATTCAACAGCACTTGGCGCGTGGTTGGAAATTCGGAGTTTCATTTCGCCGGCCGCCTCTGGGAAGATGCTCTCGCAAGTTTTTGCTATAATTCAACTATTCATCTAGCCTCTACACATACGAGCACCAGCGGGAGTGCTGAACCAGGGCCTTTTCCAAGTGAATTGCCTGTGGTTGAACCGGGCATCTCGGGGTTCGACTCCCCATACCGCATTTTGCGACGATGAGGGTATCTTTTTTTTCCTGAGTGGCGTGGGTCAGCCAAAAGCGTACCTTGAAGCTCGAAGACCGCCATCGACGAGGAATATTGATTCTGGCGTCGGTACCGACTAGGCGTTTCTTATAATTCTTCCCCGGGGTCGCCAAAGAATAGCGCTGGACCCCGCACCCCGCCTCTGTCTGTCTTGAAGGAAGTACTTTCACCCTCCCACCTCTTTCCCTCTGTGTCTTTTAGATGTTGTATACGGGTCCATGAGCAGACGCGCACCTGCAACAGCGCCCTCGCAAAGTTGAAAGTTGAAAGTTGAACGGGGCATCTCGGGGTTCGATTCCTCACTGTGCCTTAGGAAATCTGCGTCATTCTTTTTCTGCTTAGTTAGGGTCTGGGAAACTTCGGTTGGGTCTGGCGAATAAAAGTTTTCCCGCGCCAAATGAATTCACCAACACTCGTTTGAGCTGGTACATCATTCACACCGCGGCGGTAACCGACTCGCTCGAACAGACTCAAGGTCGAGGACGAGTGGTTGGAATTGCGTGGTTCGACTCCCCGCCCGTATATGAGGAGACTCGAGGAACCATTATTTTCAGCGAACCCAAGCTACCTTGCCCGCATTCCATTTGCGGACACCTCTCCGCCGCCGGTCTGGTTGGATATGCGACGGCGGACTCAATACCCTGGAAGTTGGAAAGTGGGAAGACCTGAACGATGGGGTTAATTCACCATGAATAGCCAAGACACCCGTGTGCACGCAAGAGAGTTGCCATCTCCGTGCAACAACATTGCCCTCAAATGTACAGTGTTGGTACAAACCCAGGACGGCGAGTACAAGAGGAATCATGCGACTCAAGCGGATTCACTGCCGTGGGTGTTGAAGTGAATCTGGCGGAAGCCGGTGGTTCCGCTCAGATCTTGCTTCTGGTGCACGCTGCCGTCGTCGTCCTGCAGCCAACAATTGTTAGGGACGAACCAGGAGGCCGGAAGAGAAATGACACTCACGCCCTTGCGCGCAGGCTCCATCTCGATCTCGGACGTCGTCGGGTCGACGGTCGTGATCGCGGTGCGCTCCACACCTGGGTACATATAATATGTGAGTGCGAGTCGGACGACAGTGAGACGGTATGTACGCACGTATACCGTTGACGATGATGCTCGTGTTGCCCGGAACAGTGTGGTTCCGGCTTGTAGACCACGTCCTACTACCGGACTTGCCGCTCGACCCGCGGAGGCCCAGGTTCGAGAGCAGCGTGAGGAGGAAGAGGGGGCCGAGCATGTAGTTGAATACCAAGCTCACTGGAGAGGTAATGCG